AAAAATCCCATAAATGTATCAGATGAAAAAAAATTCTCCTGCCAGCACCCAAATCTGCTCTCTCCTGTCTCAGAATGTCCCTTTTTTTAAACCACAATCTTATATTCAGGTAGCTTTGTTTTTTTTTCTTGAGATGTCCAGCACTATTCACTAGCACAGTTAACTGTCCCAGATCAATCAGATAATAAAGAGGTCCAATAAAAATGTCACAGTCAGAGTCTAATTATGACAATTTGATGGTGGAGATCATTGTCTAAAGTTGACCAAGGCTGATCGGACCAGTGGTCAGTGATTGGTATGGACTATTACTGACCTATGTGGTCTACAGTGTTTAATGAATTGTCACCCCTTTTTATTCAGTCTCACTGCAGTCCTTACATAAAGCACCTGCTCCTGCATAAGGTGTTGATTGACTGGGGATAATTTGTTTATAACCATGTAATCTCCTATCTTTAGATGGATTATAGCACCTAAGTATTGATCACGATTGATTTAACATCATTTATCTTAATGCCGTAATTATACACAATACCCTAAGCTTTCCACCTATCTTCTTACGATTACAAAATATTTCACTGGTACATGCCATTAAACATTATTTTCTCCATATCAACCATAAATTAAACTGCTGATCAAGAGTTACATTTTATAATTACTTAATTCTCTCAAAATCAGATGTATCGACATAATTATGAGACTCAGAATTTTAACCAAAATTAATATGGAATAAAATTTATCACCCAAAATCACGGATTTCAAAGTACAGTAAAAATTTGCTGAAATTTTTTTAGGCAAATAACTGTTAGTAATACTTTACTGAAATATATTCTGACAATTTCCCAAATATAGTTCTTTCCTCAATCATTTCAATCAAATTTGCATGGATTTTTGAGATATTGAAGTTCAAGTTGAACTGTTTTGATCAAAAATCACTAGAGCCCCCTCCCCCCTTTCCACAAAAAAAAAAAATTCTCTATAAATTATACTTTAGAAAATTTTGCTGAATTGCTAAAGAGATAGACATGGGTCAATATTCCTACAATGTTCATATTGAAGGCATGACACTTTCTCAAAAACACAGTTGAATGAAACTGTGTAAATTGTCACATACTTTATAATAATCTGTATCACCTCTGTATACTAAAGGTAAAAATAATCCCAAAACTTGGGACCTTATCACCTTTTATATAATTGATTTCCATTAACATCTGTACAAGTTTCAAAGTTAAGAAAGAGACTGTAAGGGGTCTTATAATAATTTGATCTAATTATTACACCTTCACTGGAGGCAAGTTTACAGGGGCACTAGGGGGTAAAACAACCCCTATCAAACTAATACCTCTTTTTGCCACCTGCCTGCTTTACTCAGAAAGGGGTCTCACCATCTGCCCAAATTTTAAACTTCTCATAATATTAGATTATCCTCATCTGTTACATTGACAATTGCTCACATAAATAAAATATATGTACATGGAATATATATTTATCCTTCTAAAAACATGTGATGTTTTATTGTGTTGAATTTAAAATATTCTTTTTAACATATTCTGATATAAAATAATCAAAGTAAATCTTACCAAGAATTGTCCTTTATTTATCCATAATGTAATATTCATCTAATACAAAAAGGACTTCAAGAGTTAAAACAAAAAATAAATCCAAGTCAAACTGAAGGAAGGTAGTATTTAGGTGCAACAAGAACTCTGTGTTACAGTGTCAATGAACCAGCTCCTATAGCTAATTACAAACAAGTTGTTGATGTACCATGTTTACGTTGTTGTTTCTATCTTCACATCACGGCAAGTTTCACATCAATTTACTGATAGAGTGAAAAAACAAACTAGAACTTTGTACCATAGTAAATTAACAGGACCAAAAAATTTGCTTAAAATTGTAGAATTTTTTATCAGCTTCACTCATGCTGATAACTTTAAACAGCTGTGAAAATTAAATTTTAATTTTATGAGATGTAGAAGACTGTCAGATTTAGCTGCTAACTTAATCTGAGGCAAATGACCAAGTGTCTGAAGAGAGTTACTGTAAATCAAAATTGACAAACTTTGGCAGAAAAATCAGCCAAGCGATACATGGCAGGGTAAACTGATGCAGTTATTCCTCTATTTACAAAAGTCAAGTAAAATGAATCTTACACAAATTATATTTTATTTGTGAAGAATATACCAGTAAATCAAACAAATACATCAGCTGGATAATTTAATTTACTCATATTTGACATAGGAAATGCCCTGTGTTTAACATGATATAGTCCAAAGCTTGCAATACTGTATAGGGGGAAAATAACTCGTGGTGATAATATTCGCTATATTCATGGTGTTAATAAATTGGTGAATTCAAGAAACAGTGAATAAGTTTTAAATATTAAACCTCAATGTTTTATTTGGAAATTTGAAAATAGACTACGATAGTTATACATCTATGTACAATACATGGTCATTTAGTAATTATGAGTATTTGTCATTCAACTATCTTAATTATCACGCTTTACTTTAATTCAAATAAGCAGCTAATAACCTGTATTTATTGTTAAAAAGCTGTTTTAATAGATATATGTTTCATCAATCAAAACACATGGATCATAGGTTTTGATTACCCGTGCGTAACATTATCATGTGTATTTGTTACCTGCATTAACATTATGTGTATTAGTTTTTATGGAAATTTTGGTGTATAAAATTTCATTCGAATAACTATCTAACTTGCTGAAGATATGGAAGGATATTGTTACGTCCACCTACATTAATAAATTTATTGGTGTCCAGTCATTTTTTTTTTTCTGCGATGTGTATACCTTCAGGAAGATGTGTACACATGTGTGCACTCATCGTAAAAGCCTATTGGAAAGTCATTTGACGTTTATAGTCAAAAGGTTTTAATAAGGCACTTGTTTTGATTAATCATCAATTAACTATACTGGATTTAATCATTTTATATAAACCTACCCTGTTCGTGGAGTGAATATATAATGCTGATAAATGTCGTTCTTGCTATACTAGCTATGGATTATACGGATAAAGACAAGGGAGGTAACTTTAATTATATACCGATTCCGTGAATTCAACAAACCGCGATCGTGTCTGAGGAGAGAAAAACGTGAAAATTACAACCCGTAAATTAATCCCCTATACAGTAGTCAATATTTATCACCGATGATTTTTACAGCATCACTTAAACAATGAAATGCTTTTTTGTTTTCTTGGTTGTTAATTAAGAAATAAGATATCATTTTTAGAGTTTCACTGGAGTATGACATGAGGTCACTCACATGATCAAATCCTATAATGCCTAAAGGGTATTATAGTAGATTTGATCACGTAACAACTTCATATCATAACCCAATGAAACTCTAAAAAATGATATTTTATTTCTTATATTTATACAGGTAAACTTCGGTATCTCGACATCGGATATGTCGACAACCTGGGATATGTCGACGTCCGTCCGCGGTCCCGGCAGTATTTACTATATAAATGATTTGCAAAAACTCTGATATGTCAACCTCGGTAATCTCGACAACCCTGGTTATCTCGACATATATTCAGAGTCCCAAGAGCAAAATTTACCTGGTATATGTCGACATCGGCAATTTTCTGCTCCACTGAACCTAACTGTTTGTCAGATAGGGTCGCTCGTCACGCGCGGACGGCTCCGGGTATCTCGACGTTGTCAAAAATTCACACCTTTCACACCCATGTTTTGACTGCACGCTGCTTAATTAATTCTATAGACTGTGTTTGTAGGTGAATCCAAAGCCCCCTCGGCGTCTTTGAGACGTTAATTGCTTAATGTTCAGCTTGGGTAATATCACTGATAAATCTACACGATTCTGCTTAAATTTACAGGTGTTTTTTTTATGTCGAAACCTAACATAACTTTTAAAATTGAAAAAAGATAACTAAATTACAAAGAATAATAAACATATTGAATAAATTCAAACTAAAGAATTAAACGATGTTCTTATAATATTTTGTAGTTAAAATGCATTCAACAGGAAATAATCCGATTAACGACACGATTAACCGAATCATCCGTAATTCATGCATCTGTAATATCACTACGTTGGTTTAGATACACAAATCTCTTAAAAAATTAATATTAATGCACATTCTTCCTAATGAAATAAGAAAAAAAAATTACGCATTTAATATGTTTTCGTATCTTGGATGTCTATATGGTTCGGTTTGAAGTTTATAGTGCGCATTTCGTATCCTGTTCTGACAAAAAAGCAAGTAACACGCGAATGCTGGATGGAAAACTACAAAAATTTAGAACGATTTCGATAAAGAGAAAGGTTTTATAAATAAGATTTTTAAAAATAACTTCTTAGATTTTCAATAAAAATAGAGGGATTGCTGAAATAAATTGACCTACAGTCTACATTGAAGTCATATACGTATAATAAGCTTATACACATGTATGTGTTTGGTTATGCAGTGAAATCTTGGACGTCAAGTCTCAACTCTGATATCTCGACACCTCGGATATCTCGACATTTTCCGATGGTCCCGTCGATGTCGAGATAACGAAGTTTACCTGTATTTTACTTTTTTTATTCATGTTACAAAGAAATATAGGCACTATTTAGACTTTGCTATGGTAGTGCAACATAATGTACCTACGATGTCATGTGACGTCACAATCGGAACTTTCCAAATGACTCCAAATTTGCTTTCCGAACACAAGAAAGTCCGATCATGTGACCAACTGCATGTCATTGAATATTGAATTTCAATTTAATTAGTATTGTTATATAAGGAAAGACATTGGCAAATGTAAATATTTTAGGAATGACTCTAATTCTTGGCCATATTATTCGAGTATAACATGGTTTGGGTCAGTTTACGCTTTATAATCCGCGAAGCGGATTATAAAACAGCGTAAACTGACCCAAACCAGGTTATACTCGAATAATTTGGCCAAGAATTAGAGTTATTCCTTATAATTTAATTTTAAAATCATTAAATAACTATGGGTGTAAAATTTCGTTACTTTTTATTAGTTCAAATTTGCCGCTCAATAATACAACCATAGTAACGGAAGTAACGGAAGTGATGGGAATCGAGGGGAGGTAAAAACTGATACATAGGCATAGCAGCCATGTTGTTTGGTTACATGTGGTAAGATCGAATTATTGTTTGAAATTAAAGGTACATTTATTAAATCTGGAATTTTCCATGAATCCCGAGGACTGGAAATGAGAGGATTGTATGGATACAGATGATTCAGCTGGTTGTCAGGGGGGTGTGTCCCCATACCAAACCAGGTTATACAGAAATAATTTGTGTTCCTTTTTGGATATTAACCAATCAGAGGCTAGTATACAAACAAAATTAAATTATTAGGGGAATTAATGTTGCAGCTGTTGCAGAAAAAAATGCATAACCCGCGTAAGCAGGTTATGTAATTTTTTTCTGCAATAGCTGCAGCATTATTTCCCCTATTAACAACCAAAGAAAGACATATTACTGTTTATATTAAGACATATCCCTTTTAGTCTACCCCACTTATCACCTTCTACCCCTCAAGGCTAATTTGTTCCAAGTTTTCTGTGTCACATGTACATTTTGCATTTGTATGCATTGAATAATACAGTTTTTGGGTGTCACATATTTCAAAACTCCTTTTGCCTATAATCAGATGCCCCCCTGCCTATAATCAGATGCCCCCTGCCTATAATCAGGTGCCCCATTGCCTATAATCAGAATCCCCGCTGCCTATAATCAGATGCCCCACTGCCTATAATTGGGTGCCCTGCTGTCTATAATCAGGTGCCCCTACTGCCTATAATCAGATGCCCCACTGCCTGTAATCAGATCCCCCGCTGCCTGTAATCAGATGCCCCGCTGCCTATAATCAGATGCCCCGCTGCCTATAATCAGATGCCCCACTGCCTATAATCAAATGCTCTGATGCCTATACTCAGGTGCCCTGCTGTCTATAATCAGGTGCCCGCACTATTTGTAATCAGGTGCCCCACTGCCTATAGTCAGGTGCTCTGTGTTCTAAAACGTGTTCATCCATGTAACAAAGTATCCTAAGTTTTAATCAGAACCCTCATCATTATACCCTTCTGCTATCTCTGTATACTGACCTTCTTTGTCCTGTAGCTGCTACCTAATCGGGAGAAGACACTACTTTTGCGTTTCTTGTCTTTCTCCTCTTTTTCTCTCTTAGCAATTTTGGCTTGCTCATCTGTTGTGTAGTTGGCAGTTCTATAACATGGTGATTAAAATTTAAACATTCATTAAGAGTCTATAACTAATTATTTTCATAAATAGTAGTGATGCAATCAATCTTATCACTCTGCTTCAAACTTCAGTGGCATAATACAGAATACAATAAGTTAACAAGCGACCCATAGACCAAATGCCCACCTGAGTCGCCATTCTCTTTTTGACAAATGAATGAGTATACATACATAAATGAAACCTTCCTTCTTTTTCACCAGTTTTGATTTACAGTATATTGAGGTTTGAAGTCAACATTACAAATTAGTAGTGTTCTTATTTTTGCAAGTGTTTCTATATTCCACATAAACTTTGTTCCTAAATTATGGCCCAAACTCACTGTGGCTCAACCCTCAGCCCCAGCAATCACGATTTGATTAAAACTGAATTAACACTATATAAATATGTTTTTACTATTCAGTATTGATTAAACTAATTATGGCCCGGAGGAAATTTAGGCCATTTAAGTCTTAAAAAGAATCAATATTTTTAAAGATTTATCCTAAATATTTCCATGTAAACATTAACTCCACATTGCAGTCCAGGGACCTTGTTTTCTATCAATTTTAGAATCTAAAAAGTTCTCCCTTAAGATTTAATTGTTCCTCCTGGCCTTAAGTTTTTTCAGAATGATTTTTAAATGACCCTATTTTATTTTCCAAATATCTCAACTCCCATTCTTCATTTATAAACAAACTTAAACTCCCATTTTTTAAAGATGCTTTATGGCGAGTTTGGTTGATATTGGGCTGGTAGTTTGAAAGGAGGAGATGAAAATGTGAAAGTTTACTTGTAAACATATGCCGGACAACTATCGATCAGAAAAGCTCATTTGAAACTCTAGCTCAGGTGACCTAAAAAATGATTCAGAAGGAATATGAAAATCCACACTATACAAATAAATTAGGAAAAAAGTATTAATTGTGGTGATTACAACATCTTGTTATAAAATGTGAAGATTAAGTATTCATAAACACACAGGATATAGCTATAAAGAACCTGCAATGTTTGAAACAACTGTGTAATGGATGACTGTTAATTTTCCAAAGTATTTTAAATAAAATACATGTATTTGTAACTATTCAAAAATATATAATCCACAAATTGCTAGAAATCTGGATTTTGGCATTTTTGCACTAATGTATAGCAACTTGACTGCAGTCTCTTTATAAAACTACATGTCTCTATATACATTAACTAAATTTCCATAGATTTTCCCTACAGCCCATTTTTGTTAGCATTACAAAGTGAATAAATTCACAAAGCAGAATATTAAAAGGTTTCTAAGCAGAAGCAGTGCTTGCTTGGTTATTGTGGGTTTAAGCCCTGCATTTTCCCCCACCTCTCCTCAAACTTACAATACTGATCATAAAATCCTGTATAAAACTCAAACATACACTAATTTTCCATAAAATGCCAACCAGAACAAACTTTTGTGAAATTAGAATTGACTCATTTCACAGACTGATCTCCCTTTGTAAGATGAATCCCAACAACTGGAGGCCTTATCTAACTTACTCAGTGAGGAAGTCGAGCAGAGACAGTTCTGACTTCCTGCGGGATTTACTGTTGTTACGGCCCAGTAAACGGTTTGTTCTCTCATCGTCATCTTCATGAATTTCTTCTTGTCTTCGAAATTGTGCGCTACAATGGCATAAAGCTCATCTAACAAGGAGATACAGCCAGGCTTGTTATGAACCTTTGTAAACCTTTGATATTTAAATTCATTAAAGAAATTTGAAAAAAAAGTATCTGAATAATTAAAACCACATTATAAAGAAATCAAAAAAAAAAAGAAAAAAAAAAAAGACTGTGATATCACACTGATTGAATCTTTAAAGATATACATGTATATATAGGCAGATGTGATGTAAAGTTGGATACAGTTAAGATGACAGATTTCTGAATCAAGTCACACATCCCTGACCACTTTTCACCTCAAAACCAAGCTTTAATAAGCTCAACTGTCAGTCACACATAGACTCTTATTAAAAAAAAAAGATGACTGCTCTAAAATTAGCCCCACCCCCACCCCTTTCATAATTTCAACTTGCTTTACTCCCTAGCTATTCCTTGAATTGTTACATTTTCACAAAGTATGGTAAACCCCTTGCAAATCTTTTACACATCTCTAATTAACTTTTCATTCTGGCATTAGTGCAGCAATATGCTCTACTTATATGTCAAATTACACCTAACCTAACTAGCAACATGAAATTGTCTAGAGTGGTCTAAGGTTACCTCATGTAATGCATCCAAACATGTAAAGATACTGAAATTCGTCTGCAAATGACAATGCAACTGATGAACAGAAAACATTTACAGTGTGCAAAAAAAAAAAGCATGCAAAGGCCCAAGAGTGCATAGCTTGCTCATGCAGAAAGTATTAGAGGCAGCAACTGGTCAAACATGCACATCAGTTTCATATAAACTGGCCATTTGAATGGACAGATTAGTTTCCATAGCACAACACTGTGAGGCAGTGCTCTGAAAGTCTTATCAGATCTTTAAATTAAAATGGAAACAGAAAGTCATTTGTAATACAGGAAGGTGATCCATCATGCTTATAATTCGAGATGAAGAACTCAGTCAGGATTTTCTCTGTCTTATCTCCTGTAATAGAAGTAATCCATACGGCTGATGATGTATGTATCATGGGAAGTTAGAAGGAACATTTCAATAGAGAAAATCTTTCAGAGCACTGAGATAACTCCAATAAGAGAATGCAAAAATCTGCAGGCAAACATTTGCTATCACTCACTCATGTTCCTCTATAAGTTTTTGAATGAGTAGATAAGAAGGGGTATTGGATCTGAAATATAATACCACAAGGCACCAGTGTCATTCAAAAACCATCTATAGTGCTTATCATCTTTTGTAACATTTCATTCAATAGTTTTCAATAATAAACAAATTGTGCAAAGTTTAAACGCGTTTCTCAATGTGTTCTAATTGTGTACCAATCAAATAACTCAGATTAAACAAAATCATGAAATAAATTGCTGTACTTTCTCTATTTCAAGTCTTACACGTATCTATAAATGATAATTCTAATTATTTGTTCATCCACATGCATTATAACAAAAACAGAAGCCAAATTTTGCAAAAGAAAAGAAAATGTTTAATATCTGACTTCACCCCAAATAAAACAGTTTCTATGACAACTCAGAGACAGACCATCTGTCTATCACATGCAGGTTATGCGGATGTAGACCTCTCCTTATCACAACATAGTCTCTACTTCAGACAATAGTAAAAATTATCTTAACATGTTTCATCAATCAAAGTTTTTTTTTTGTTTTCCATTCAGAACATTTACAGAGAGAAGGTCTACATGAGAAGGGCCATAACTCTACAATAGACTAATGCATCAACATCCTGGCATAACACGCCCGCACAAACTTGTGTCTACACATACCGGAATAGTTTAGCCCTTCTGGACAGCAAAGGAAAATAGGAATAAAATTTAGAATCTAATGATTAAAATAAACACTGAAGGGAGTCAGCAGACTGGAAGTCTACTACGATATAACAAACTTAATCCCACATTTAAAGCTAAATTAATTTGCAACTATTTAATATTTTAGACCCATTGAGTAACTTGTATTCCTATATTATTATACCAGAAAATGAAGAATTAATAGCTATCAGTATATTGCATAAAATGTTTTTTTCATATTATCTAAACATAAAATAAAAATCAGAGTATGTGATCTAATACTTTGATAAATATTAAATAATCTACATTGTTATGGGAAAATGTTACCAAAGTGTTAGTAAAATATAAAGTGACAGTTAGATGTTAATTAATTATGTGTGTAAATGAACATCTCTTAAAATATTTAGATTTCAGATGTTTGATATCATAATGTAAAAAAAAAAATTATGATATTTATTCTCTACAGTGTTAATATTACAAAAACTTTATGTATTAAACATAATTACTACTCACTGTTTTGCCTCCTTCTGAAATGACTTCTTTTCAGCTGAAATTACATAAATGATTGATTTTTAATATTAAAACATAAAAATTTATGATAAAACAATAAGAATGTGACTGAAATATACAAACAAAAGGCCCAAGGGCCACAATGGTCACCTTATCATTCTGTAACTCAATGATTCATTCATACCTGTTATGTCTGCAATATCCTAAGATTATGATTTTTTCAGGGTTTACTGGTAAGTTAATTGATTAATAAGAGAAAAAAAAATTTTTGCAATCAAAGTACTGGTACAATACTGAAAAAAAAGCATTATGGCCCAATTTTAACATAAAAACATGATCAAAAACTTAAAATTAAGAAAAAAATATCAGATTTACAGTTGTGGGATTACTAAGTAAAAAGGGTTCAAATTAACCTGACCCCTTCAGGAGTAAGCATCAATGCCCCAGACATTCATGGTGAAGAATTCACACATCAAAGTATTTTGTTTAGGAACATAATGATTTTCAAAAGATTAAAAGGTTAATGCATTTAATACCAATTTTTTTATCATTTGTTCAGAAAAATCAAGGTATATACACATTGGAATAAGTGGAAATCTGCATAAACAGCAACATAGTTTCTCTATGAATTATATCTGCTCCAATGTATGTATATACCCCACCCCCCTTTCCCAAATTCTAACTCTGACATTTAAAGCTATCACACAAATATATCTTGTGCAAACACTGATTCAGACACCACGCACCATCTGCCAATAAAATATATGTGTGACATCACATACTGTGTGTATGAGCTTATACACGCTTTTAGATATAAAAGGATTATCAATGTCTTATCCTTAAATGTAAATACATGTATAATTAAAAGTGAAAGTTCTATAGAAGCATTAATTAATTTTAAGAATTAAAAATCAACATAGCCATATCTTGATTTATCACCTTTAATTCTCAGTTTGTCAGGAGCATTTCTCTCCACATTATTTTAAAGATTGCATTCTAATGCAAAATTTGCATAGTGTCATTCACCACTTTAATTCCAAGGCAAACTTTCATTTTAGTGTGTAAAATACCTCCAAAATTAAAATGATGCGAATTGAAGTGGTAAAATTTTCCATTTGAATGGAATGTTTGGAGCTTACATGCCCATTTCTTCAGAGAGGAAAAAGCTATCACATGCTTCATTCGAATACCAGTAGAACAGGAATTTGATAAATACAATAACCAATCAGATTGGAGGTTTACATAAGCACTGGGTAAACGTGTTCCACTGATACGTTCCAATAACTTCAATAAGCATGATGAATTCATAATTATGTACATGTTCATTGCAACTCTCAAGTTTTACAGAATCCAGGAGTCTTTAACTCTCTCCTAACTTCATAAAATCCCCATTTCAGCAAAACTTGTGTTGCTAGTTGCAGAGAGTGGGGTTTCTTAAAACATTGCAATAAATACATGTATTGCTTTCTCGTTCCTAATGAGATAGGTGCATCTTTATGTAACGATTGATGTTCAATAAGAAAGACCAAAACGTTCCATCCAAACGACAAATTTCACCACTGCAATGCACATCATTTTATCTATTGCCTTGATTGGGAATAGTGAAGACATAAATGAAAATTTGATCTTTGCTCGTCATACTACCACATTTTCTGTATCATAAAAGGCAGCATAATAACAAGATATGACTATACGTATGTAATTGAAAAATAATTGACAGAGAGAGTGAGAGAATATCGGGAAAATACTCTGAAAGTAAAATACTATAATAAAACAAAAAAGTTTATATATATATATATGTCCAGATAATGAAAGCCATCACCAATAAAAAAACCCAGAAATCCTATGTTATATAAATCCCACCGACATACTTGTGTCTGTGTCTTCAAAGTCAAAGATGTGTCTTCCTACATCTATTACTTTGTTCCACCAATCTATATCAATGACAGATATCTAATCAGTATAACTCAAATCTAAAATCAACTCAACTTTAACAAGCCAACATGGTTCCTACACACACCTAGCATTATTCGCTAGTTTACTGTAAACATGGCAAATATTTTGAACAGTGTTTTTCCAATCATCAATTATGATCAATCAAATTACTACCAGTCGATTGTTGATAAATCCATGAACTTGATTATAAAAATATCGGTAGTTCTATTTTTATCAACAAACTGTATTTTTGGAATGCACAATTCCAGTCATGATTCATCTAATATCCTAAAATAGTACTCGGTGTTAAATGGTACATCATGTTTATTTTTTTTTAAAATGATACTTGGTTATATAGTGATATTTTATGTTGATAAAAAGAGCAGAAAAAAATCTTTCTGCTAAGAAAATGTTGCACTGAAAAAGAATCATCAACTATAAAATCCCTACCGATTCCCGTAACTAATTTTGAGTCAATAAGATATTTTCTAAAAGAATGCATGACACTTTTGTCATTAGCAGATGTGATTCTATATTTAAATTTCACAGATGATAGTCCAATGACTTAACAAACACATAATCTTTGTACTTCTGTCGAAAAAAAAAGTTACAAAACAATAAATTCTGGATACTGAACTAACCTGGGGGGAAAGTACTGACAGAGACAAAGAAAGAATATAATAGAACTCTGTATCTGACAAGACTCCACGATCCTACTTCTGAAATCTGATGATTAATTGAATGCAACATCTAAGGCTGATACATGTATTTGACATTGTTGCAAAGTTTCCTGAATATACCTGCATCTATTTAACATATTTATCTAAATACTGTGGAATCATTTTGTTTCATGGGGGTCAAAGTTCATGGGTAACCAAACTTTTATTGGTTCGTAGCAACATACAGTATGCACTATACAGGGTTATTTCCCCTTGTATTATTTTTACCCTTTCACAGTTGCAAACAATTTTGCCCCATTTTAAATTCACCCAGTCACATTTCTGTTTAAGAAATTATACTGTGTTCTTTGAATTCACCATGTTTTAAATTTGCCCATTTCAGAGTAGGGAGAAAGGGATGAAAATAAAAATGGGGTGAAAATTTCCCTGTAAACAGTATTTTCATGGATAACTTGTATTCACAAAAGATGCAATGAACTGATACTATGAAAAAGTTCATTCATGGGGTAAATAAATTTGTGGATAACAAATCCATGAACATTGGTCCCCCACGAACAATGATGATTCCACAGTAATTCATAAAGAAGATGCAGTCATGTCCTTCATTGATCCTTCACAGTTAACATGGAGTATCACTGAAGGATAGAAAAGTGAAATCTAATATCTCTACAATGGGTACAAAAGACTTTAGGACTCTCAAGTAACTGGCAGGACAATCAAATATTGAGAGGGGTGAGGTGATTAAGGGACTGTAATACTCGCTGAGGAAACAGGGAGAAATAATGAGACTATAAGTGAGGAAACAGCCATATGCCTGGTGTACTTACTAGGGGAAACAGCTGCGGGAATTGAGGGCGTAGACATTGATTTAGTCATGGTGGAATGTGGAACATTTAGGTTAGAGGTCATATCTTCATCAGTCGAGTCTCCACTCTGACCCGACATCGTCGTCTCTCCGTCTTGCGACAGGGATTTCTAAAAATAGCAACAAAAAACTATTTCATCTGTTTTACAACATGGAAAACCTCACCTGCATATTTTTATTTTATCCTCCCCTTTAAAATTTCCAAAGATAAATGCTTCACTCTCCTTTTTGTTGCATACAAGGAAAGAGTTCATCATTTAATCACAGAATTATTAATTTTTTTATGTTCATTGTGTCATGAGACGGATGGCTGTCCTGACAAGCACACATTAGTGTGTCAAGAAAATTTGTCTGCAAATCCACCTGTGTTGTGGCACAATTTACAATTCAATAGTGAAAACTTCATGATTTCATGGTAATTTCAACCTTCAAAGACCAATACTTACCAAAGTTTGCCTGGGTGAGACAAGTTCTTTCTTCATGCTATGAAGTGTTCTTGTCAAAGTTTGGCCCTGGTTGGCATCATCTTTATTGTGATCTTTAAAAATAAATATTAACTGAATGTGTCATTGTGACATGAATGCCCCTGCTGATAAGCAATTTTCAATTTGGAAGCAGGCACGTAGTATTGGGGGGGGGGGGGGGCAGCCTCAACCCCCCCCCCCCCACTTTTTTCCTGACATAAGTTTTTCTATAGGAAATGTTCATTGAAAGTCTGGTTGGCCCCCCACTTTTGGTTGCAATATTGTCAAATGAGGGTAATATAAGGGGAATGCAGTGTTTAAGTCAAGTTTTTTCAGGTAAGTTGAAAATTTTTTCCTCTGGACCCCCCCCCCTCCCCCCCCCTTTCAAAAATGGTGCTATGTCACTGGGAAGTCCAAGGATATGAAAATACTAAAGGGTGGAAATGAGACAAAAATAAAATATTGTTCCTATTGTTTTCTTGAATTACTTGTCAATACCACAACATACTCAAGCTACATGAAAATAGTGATGAACTACACACAAATTTTGAAAAAGTCCCAAAAATACTACAATAATAATATGAAATTCAAAATTTAATGGCAATAACTTTTAGGAAAATGGGTCAATAGACACGAAACTTAAACTTAATCTGTAAGTCATGAATATTAAAGATGTATACCAAAAATCAGCTTATCTACAAGCACAGCAAAAAATGTCATGAAAAAATGACAAGAGGCCCATGGGCCTTGAATCGCTCTTCTGATAAACTGTACAACCTATTACTTCTATTTGAAGTATCCTGTATATTTACATAAACCCTTGAAATTCCAATTCACACTCTGAGAGCCCAAGATGATTCTAAGCCAATTAGTACCTGAGAGTTGGTCATGATGACCTACTTATCACTTGTCATTCTCTGAGGACCCATCAACTAAGTTTGATGATTCTAAGCCAATTAATACCTAAGATATTTTTTAAAATTATAATCATAAAATTTTATAAGTAGGTCAAAGTGACCTACTTTTCAATTGTTTTACTCCAAGGACCCAAGATGCATCAACTGACAAAGTTTGATGATTCTAAGCCAATTAATACCTGTAATATTTAATCAAAGCCATAAATTTTCAAAAGTAGGTCACCATGACCTACTTTTCAGTTGCTGTACTCCGAGGACCAAAGATACATCGACTGACAAAGTTTGATGATTCTAGCCAATAAGTACCCAAAATATTTAATTAAAGCCATAAATTTTCAAAAGTAGGCCACAGTGACCTACTTTACAGTCAACCTACTCCGAGGACCAAAGATGCATCAACTGACAAATTTTGAAGATTCTAAGCCAAATAATTCCTGAAAATATTAAATACAGCCATAAAATTTCAAAAGTAAGTCACTGTGACCTACTTTTCAGTTGTTGTACTCCGAGGACCCAAGACGCATCATCTGACAAAGTTTAATGATTCTAAGCCAATTAGTACCCGAAATATTTGATTAAAGCCATAAATTTTCAAAAGTAGGTCACCGTGACCTACTTTTCAGTTGTTGTACTCCGAGGACCCATGACGCATAAACTGACAAAGTTTTATGATTCTAAGCCAATTAGTACCCGAAATATTTTATTAAAGCCATAAATTTTCCGAAAGTAGGTCACGGTGACCTACTTTTTAGTCGACCTACTCTGAAGACCCATGACCCATCAACTGACAAACTTTGATGATTCTAAGCCAATTAGTACCCGAAATATTTAATTAAAGCCATAAATTTTCAAAAGTAGGTCACAGTGACCTACTTTTCAGTCAACCTACTCCGAGGACCAAAGATGCATCAACTGACAAAGTTTGATGATTCTAAGCCAATTAGTACCCGAAATATTTAATTAAAGCCATAAATTTTCAAAAGTAGGTCACTGTGACCTACTTTTTAGTCGACCTACTCCGAAGACCCAAGATGCATCTACTGACAAAGTTTGATGATTCTAAGCCAATTACTACCTGAAATATTTAATTATAGTCATATAAATTGAAAAGTAGGTGACCTACTTTTCAGTTGACCTTTTTTGAGGACCAAAGATGCATCAACTTACAAAGTTTTATGATCATAGGACTTAAAATGTCCAAATCATGCCTCTAAAACGCTTTGAAATCGAATGCCTGCAAAGTTCAAAAAGTAGGTCACTGTGACCTACTTTTTAATAAATATGTTTTATGGCCCCAAGATGCATCATCTTACAAGATTTAATGATTCTAAGCCTCCCCGTATTCGAATTAATGACCTTAATTGTTTTTAAAAAGATTAGCCATAAAATTCAAAAAGTAGGTCAAGGTGACCTACTTTTTAGTTGACGTACTTTGAGGACCTAAGATGCATCAACTGACAAAGTTTGATGATCATAGGCCTTAAATTGTTCAAAATATGTCTCTAAATCATTTTGAAAAAGAATGGCCGCAAAATTTAAAAGTAGGTCACCGTGACCTACTTTTGAGTCAACATGATATGAGGTCCTTAGATGCACCAACTGACAAGATTTGATGATCCTAGTCCTTATAGTAAGCAAAATATCAACATTTTAATAAAATGTAATTTTTGGTCAACTTTGAAGTGACCTTGAGACCACGCCCTTTGCCCCAGGGTAAATCCCCGTGCAAATTTTAATCTACAACATATCCTCATCCTTTTGTGTAAGTTTGGTGATAATCTGCCCAGTGGTTCTTGAGAAGAAGATTTTTTAGCAACCAGTACTTTTGTTTCTATTTTCCTAATTATCTCCCCTTGTTAAAGGGTCACAACCCCAGTTTTAGTATAAAAGGGAGCCCTTGGGCCAAGGATACCCTGTGACAAATTTGACAATTATTGGCCAATTATTGGCTGGGATCGAACTCAAAACCCTTGGTTTGAAAGGCAGGTGCGCTAAGCATTAGGCCACGCACTCCAATAACAATAGTATGTTAAAATGTTTAGGACTATAGAATAATTGCAAGCGTATTTTTAGAATCGGTAGGGGAAGAAAGAAGTTCCGTAAAAGGAAATAGTTCCTGAATTTGCAAGCAGTATATTAAATAATAAGGGACGGGCTGCGTAAGAAAACATTAACACTGTTCCCTAATGAAAATGTATTAAGGGACTGTAGCCCGATTCATCGATATTGTGAGCATGCTGAATTTTTTGTAAATAGCTTTGTTGTAAGCTTAAAAGATCGGGTTCGGATTTTAACATTTCTGACTGAATATCCTGAAATAACTATGAAACATTTAAATAAGCATTTCTTTGGGTTAAATTAAATATGTGTATCACAAATTAAACTCCCAACATGCATTTTTAGAAGGGAAAGACGACAATGAAAGTCAGAATTGTTTTTAATCTACCGAAAATCGCTATTTTTGGAAACTGATTACAGTACAGGCAACGCAGATCCCGTATTAGACCGCGTCCCCTCGGCGGTGTGTTAATCCTTTCCGCATTACACCGTCGCGGTTTTGATCGCGGTACTACCTGCGACCGTGTTTACACCGCGGCGGGGTCAGCTACCGTTATTCTGCAGTTTGAGTGTTTTTACCTGTAAACGGTTGTCGATAATCACGTTGAGTGAATGGTTATAAAAAATAAATAAGTTTACGGTCGGAATTTTTTTTCAAATATATGCATAATATTGTGAACATGTATAAATGTTGTACTACTATTATTTTTTTCTTTGATTTCAAATATTAAGTCACTAATTTTTCCCCAGTATTATTTACCGATATCAGAACTATAACATTCGTAATTCCCTAAAGTAATGACACGTTTATCTAGAAGTATGCATCATGTAAAAGCTAAATATTGTACGTCGATCTGCTCTGAAATTTGGATTAAATATGTTGTCAGCTCATTTAGAGTTTTAATCCCTCTGTTTTTATATTTTAAAAAATTCTATCTTGTAATTCTTAACTAATTCATTTCAATCTTAGATACTTGTCATCGTTTCAAAATGGAGGAGGGCTCGGAGATGATGGCTCTGTCAAACTTTCCATCTCTCTCATCCTCACTCGAAGCTCCTGTTCGGACCCGGTACCAAGAACTACGGCTCGATCCACTTCCTTAGGGCGACCCCACTGGACGTCATACTCTTCACCAACAGAAATCACAATGTCACTATCACATTTGAAGTACGCACGGCTCCTCACTTGGAAATTGTCATCACACAGATATTTGACTAGAAAATGTTTGTCTTCACGCACACCGGATCTCCTCGCCATTATACATGTACTAGTGAAATCGCAGAAAAATATATCCTTTCAATGCAACGACTTTTATGAAACTGAATAAAAAATGGCCCACAAGCACCACGCTAGTTCTAGGGATTTCCTTGAAGTTATAATTAAGAGTACATCGCTTTTGTTATGTCGTATGATCAATCGGCTATGGGGCTTGATATCAATTAAGGGAAAACAATTAAAATAATTATGTGTGCTGTTAAAGTAACCTGTGTTTATTTAATCATAATAGATGATAAGCCTGTCGGTGTTTCCAGATAACAAACAAATATCCACTATCATGATTTTTTTTTTGGATTTATTTCTCCGTTTGTTGAAACATTTTATTGAAAACTTTTTAATACTTCTATTCAAATTGTATTATTGATTGGGAACGATAAATTTATATAGAAGGAAATAATCTATACAAATTTACCTCTGTAGATTTTCATTTGAAATTGAGAAAAAAAAAAGAAAGAAAGAGGAAAGCAGCTGATATGTGGAATTTCGGTGAGTTTAGCGAGCTCGCAATAAGGTCAAGTAGAACAAGTGTAAATCTTCATGGGCATGGTTTTCTCTGCTCTTGGTCTGTTAATCCATATACGCTGGAAATGATCGCAACTGAAACAGAATCCACAGAAAGCAGAATATATACGTATGCTTTCGTTTATTAACTAAAGTCAAATTTACCTCGTTTTTTTTTTCTCGTGGATTTCTAAAAGCTGACCGAACTCGCACTGACTTTTAGCATGTGCATTTCATAAATTTAGTTAATTGTAGTTCGCATATTTTAAACAGTAAAATTATAAGCGCCCATTACGTTTTTGTTGTCTAGTTTAAATGA